CTGACCATCTGGCTGAGGCAGTGTTTGCTGGCTTATCCGCTATAAAGAAATTAAAGATCTAAAGAAATGAAAAAATATCCCATATTCATGGATCAGAAGGCTCACCACTGTTAAACTGGCAGTATTCCCCAGACTGATTTACAGATCCATAGATTCAATCCCTAAAGCAGTCCCTATCAAAATACCAGCTGGCTTTTTTTCTTTTTCCCAGAAATTGACAAACTGATCCTAAAACTTACAGGGAAATGTAAAGGATTCTGAACAGCCAAAACAATCTTAAAAAGAAGAACAAAGCTGGGGGACTCACACTTTCCAATTCCCAAGCTTACTACCATAACCCAGGCAGTGTGGTATTGGCGTAAGGACAGAAGTATAGAATCTGGAATCCAGAAAGAAGCCCTCACATTTATGGCCATTTGATTTTTTTTTTTTTGACAGAGGTGACAAAACAATTCATTGAGGGAAAGAACAGTCTTTTCAACAAATGGTGCCAAGACAACTTGTAATGCATGTGCAAGAGAAAGAGTTTTACCCTGTACCTCACACCATACACAAACATTAACTCAAAGTGGATTGTGAAGATAAAACACTTAGAATAAAACCAAGATGCAAATCTTTGTGCTCTTGGGGTAGGTAATGAGTTCTTAAATAAGACACTGAAACCACAAATGATAAAGGGAAGATAGGTAAACTGGACTTCATCAATTCATCAAAAGTTAAAATTTTTTGCTTCGAAGGAGTGAAGAGAAAATACAACCCCAGACTGGGAGGAAGTATTTCCAAATTCCATATCCAATAAGGGACTTGTATCCAGAAAACACAAAGGACCCTTAAAACTCAATGATAAAAAGAGAAATAGCTCAATTGAAAGATGGGCAAAGTACTTCAACAACCATTTCTCATAAGAGGGTCCATGAATATCTAATAAGCACATGAAAAGGTGTTCAAAAGCATCAATCTTTAGAGAAATGCCAACTACAACCGCAATATACTACTTTATATCCATTAAGATGGCCAGAATAAAAAAAGACATACAATTACAAGCGTCGACAAGGATGTAGAGAAACTGGAACGCTCATACTCTGATGACAGTAAGGTAAAAAGGTGCAGCCAGTTTGGAAGACAGTCTGGCAGTTCCTCAAAATGTTACATCTAGAGTTACCAGCTCACCCAGCAAGTCCACCTCTGGGTATGTACTCAAAAGAAATGAAAACCTATATCCACACAAAACTGAATAAACAAATGTTCATAGCAGCATTATTCATAATGAAGAAAAACTGAAACAATCCAATTGTCAATTAACTGCTGAATGGAGAAACAAAACGTGGATATCAAGACAATGGAATATTATTTGGCAAAGAAAAGGAGAATGAATTACTGATAGATGCTACAGCATGGGCTCTTGAAACACGATGCTCAGCCAATGAAACTGGTCACAAAACTCCATACATGGTATGATTACATTTATAAAAAGTGTCCAGAATAGGCAAATTTGGGGAGACAGAAAACAGGTTTGTGGTTGCCCAGGCTGGGAGTGGGGCAGACTTGGGGGAAAATGGCAAGTGACCGCTAATGGTACCAGATTTCCTTCTAGGCTGACACAAACATTCTAAAACTTGGGTAAGATGATAGATGCACAGGTGAATGTATAAGTCAAAATCGTTGACATGCACACTTTAAACATATCAGAAAATATGATATGGCATGTAAATTATTTCCCAGTAAAGCTGCTAGAAAAGAATTCTGCAGCAGTGGGCATCATCTGGCCCACGGCTGCTGTTTGTGAGCTCCTGACCTGGACCAGTGACTTCCCCAGCCCCCTGGGCAGTGGTCCAGCCTGTGTTTCCTTCTTCCTGGAAGAAACCGCTGCCTCTTAGATTCTCATAGAATGTCTGTAGTACAAACCAAACAGTACCATGAACTATGCTCTGGATTTTGAATGTTTTCCCTGGAGAGCCATGCTGATCTTTTTCCCCTCTGGAACTCTGTATTTTAAAATATATTATCTATTTAGTGAATCCATGTACCTTCCCTCAAGTAACAGCAGACTCAGCCCCTTCAGATGGTTGGTGGGAGCCACGTTCTCATTGAGGGTTACTCCCATGACCTTAGTTCAAGGGACACCCTCCCCCTCCGGCCCTCTACCTCCCTCACCTGCTCCACTCCTATTTGTTACACTTCCCATCGCCCATCAGCCTGCTCACTTTACTTTTATGACATCTTCTGTTTACTCCCAGCTCCTCTTACTTGAAAGTCAGCTGTGCAAGGCGGGGAGTGGTCTTGTTGGTTCTCTAATGAATCCCAAGTACATGGAACATTGTAAAGACACTGATTGCTGAATGAATGAATATTAGCTTTCTTTCCATTATTAGTTGCAGAATGGGGTACAACAGTCAAAGCTAACACTTCTTGAGTATTCTACAGATGGAAGACATGAGTGTGGCCTTGTTAACCGACCGCTGGTCACACAGCCAGAGGGAGGGGACCCGGGTGTGAAGGCCCCACAGCGGTGCCCACCAGCGCTGGCGGGGCTGTTATTTCAGGCTGCTGTCATTTTGGTGGAAAGCGAGCAAACTGGAAAGCCAAAGTAAGGGAGAATGGGTAACTTTTCGTTGGGCATTTTGAACTCTTAAAAATATCTTGTGAAGACCCCTCATGGTACCTCTTCGAACCCCTGAAGAGTAGGCTGGCGAGTGAGAGCCTGTGGTTCCAGAAAACAACCTGAATACGCAGGCGCATTTCGATCTAGAGATGGGTAAGCAGATATCCCCACGGTCACACGGCACAGGTGGAACGAGCCGGTGCGCGCCCACGGGGCCGACAGCACCTGCCCTGGGACTTTAGCTCCCGGAGAGCCGTAAACTGGGAAGACAGCCGCGCAAAGCCTGCGCCTCTTGGGGCCAGAGACAGCCCGGACTCCCTTGGTCCCAAACATTCTGCCAGGCCCTCTTCCTCCGTGCAGCTGCCTCCCTGCTGAACTCTCTCCTAAGCCCTGGCCTGGTGACGAGTCTCTCTGGAGGGAAGAGGACGTCAAAGAGGGCAGACACGCTGGCTGCTGGCGGGTCAGGGGAACAGCCGCCTTTGTAAGAGCGGCCAGGGCGCCAGGAGCTGTGGCGACTGTGACCTCATCTAACTGTGCCTCCTCCTGCCCGGCATTCCTCTTCCTGCTTTCCCATCATCTCTGCTAATGGCCAACGGGATGCCCCGCAGCCTCATTGAGATTCCAGTGTGTTTCCGCTTTTAGTACCGCTGGCTTCTGATTCACTGGAAGGCAACAGCAAATTCAGACACGGAATTCAATGGTGATTGTCCTTGACATGATGAAAGATGATCAGAATTAAAGGCCACTCAGGAAGCCAGGACAAGGAGGACATGATCCGGCCAAAGAGGAGACGGGGCCAGGGAGAGTGGGGCTTTGCTCCTTAAGTTTTCAAGTCACGAGTTAGATACACACGTGCTTCTAAAACTTCAAAATTAATTTTTTTTAAATGTATGACACTTTCAGGTACAGACAGAATTCTGAGTGGGAGATGGGACTGACCCAAGGTACAGTCTTGGCCATCTTTCCAGAGAAGTCTCTCCACATTCTGCGTGTGTGTGTGTGTGTATGTGTGTGTGTATATACAGACACATACACAGGGGGAGAGCACATAGTTTTGCACACAATGGTGTAACGAGAGGCTGCTTTGCACCCGTGTATGTAATTCCATCTCGTCCCTTTGAATAGCTGTATAGGTTCCAGCATGTGGACAGGGCATCATTCATTTCTTACTGGCGGTGACATCTGGGCAGGGGGTGACCTCGGGCAAGGAAGCCTCGTTTCTGTGCTTTGTGGGGGGGCACACTGGGAGTGGTGGGTGGGCGCCACCAAAGTGGACAAGGAAAGGGGAGCTCCCGGAGGTGCAGGTGAGCTTTCCTCGCTGGGGGTCCCTGTGGAGCCCCCTTTACCCATCGGAGATGCCGCTGAGGCCTTCCCAGTGGCTTGCTGGGTTTCTGTCAGGCTTCCGGCACCCCTCATCTCTGGAGCTGCAAGCCCCCAGTTCTCCAGCCCTCCACGTGCTAGGAAAAAATGTTCCCGATGACTGAGGGGGCACAGGACTCTCCCCTGAGGACTCAGGGCTCCATCGAATTTCTTTTTGGGCTCTTTTTGGGGACACCACGGGGCTCTCTGGATGCTCCCCTCCCCCCAAGTCAGAAGGCCCATGGTTTTGCTTGCTGGTTGGAGAATCCTCCAGAAACATTTGCAGGATGCCTCAGAAAGAGGAACTTCTTTTTATTAAAATATTTGAGTCTGGATGAAATTCAACCCCATTATGTAGTGGTTTGCTTAATGACTGCAGAATATTGTCTTATCTGCAGAGAAGCAGGACATTTTAAGACTACAGGGCCCAGAATTAACAGCTTGGAATTTTCGTCCATGCTGGCTGTTAATTGACTCCAGCCATTAAAGGGAAAGAGATTTTGGCAAACCCTAAGGTACTTGTACAAGCAAAGCCCTGGGCATGTTCAAATCATTTTAAAATAGGCATCTGGCGAATCGACCGTATTCAGAAAATCGGCTATTTGATCAGAAGGTCTGCAAAAGCTTCCGTGGCTCCCAAATAAAGTATCTGAAAATGGTTTCACTTCTGGACAAAACCAAACCTCTAAAACCTACTTGTGAATGTCACAGAAGTTGGCAACAGCCACGTCAAACTTCAGTTTTCCTGGGAAATATGATGAGGCTTTGTCACTGACCTCAAAACCACTCCTGGCTCTGCCTTCTTCTGGGTGCTGTGGGCCTCATGGGCCCCGGGCTCCTCTTCCCACAGGGGGATGTTCTGTGAGGTGCTGGCGCTCAGTCTGGGTGAGAAGGATGAGGCCTCGGTGTTGTGTGTGTGGGGGTGCACACAGTGGGGCAGTGATCCCTGTTACCATTTACCTGAGTCCACCCCAAATATTCTGGGTGGGTGGGCAAGGGGATGCTGACTTACAGAGAGGCCCTCCCAGCTGGGGCTGTTTTAAGATCGTTTATGATTTTCGGAGTGGGCTTTCTTTTTATGCCCTGAAAATGCTTCGTTTTGTGGAAAACATGCTTAAAGCTAGCTACATCCATGGCCCAGTGTGCACGAGGCCTCGTCCACCTGGCGAGTCTTGTCTGTAACACAGACCATCTGCCTGTCTCAGCCGGAAATTACGCCACTTTCACTCCTGAGTCCAGGCAGCCGAGGGTGTGGCCGCTCCTCCAGGGTGCAGGGTCCCCAGGCTTCGCTGTCCTGGAGCCCCTGGAGGGCCCTTCCAGGTGGCCCAGTGGAGGGAGGACCTGGCCTGCACTCAGAGATCTGCTCACAGGGACCAGGACCCTCCAGGCGAGTGGCCAACAGGTGAGGGGTCTCAGGACAAGTCAAGCAAAAGACAGTTATCAAGACAGAGTTGGGAGCCCCCGGAATCGGCAGGAAGCAAGCCTGGAAAACGGCGGGAAGAGAAGCTGCTCTGGACCACCCGATGGACGCCCAGGCAGGGCTGCAACGGCACCTCCTGCTGCTGCTTCTGCTGGGGGGGGGTGTCTCAATCCCAGGAGGGGCACCTGCCCCCTCGGCCCTGCCTGGGTCACTTGTCTCCTGGAGGTCATACTGTCCAGTGTAGTATTGCTCGGGGGAGAGGTGATGCCCTGTTGGGCAGGAGAGGTGTGTTCTCGGGGACCCCATCACACCCCACAAGCTCGCCCTGGAGGCCCAGCTCCGCTCAGAGGCGCCCAGCTGCGGGTGGTGCCCAGATCTTCACCTGCTCGCAGGTCGGGCTCTGTGACTGAGAGGACCCAGACCTGCAGCTCCTTCCAGAGAAAACCTGACCTCGTGGAGACGCAGGGCCCACCAGCCCCGTGGTCCCCACTGGCTCCGCGCCAGGGATGCCCACCCTCCATAGTATGGGGCCCAGGGTCCACAGGCTCCTCCCAGGAAGGTGGGGGCGTCACACTAGTGGCTCCCTCCCCTCTGGGGCCCCCTCCCGCTACAGGGAACTGGGTCACACGGGGCCTTGGAGATCACAGCTGGGGTGTCACCGCTCCTCACTCGGCTGGGTGCAGCCGGGGTTCCCTCCAAGTCATTTTTCCCTCCTTAGGGAGATCTATCATCCACCAAGGTAAGGGAGATTTCTCTTCTCTGTGATAAACGGTTGCATTTCTAAATTTTCCCCATGACCTTCAATAACGACAGCAGAACAATAGTTAGGGCAAGGCTTGCAGAGCACTGGCAAGTCAGCCCCCGCGTGTCCTCTTCACTCACAGAGGAGAGACGGAGGCCGAGAGAAGAAAATCTGGGCTTCAGGTACCTTTTTGCGTAGGTGCTGTAACCTCGCAGGCCCTGAGCTGTGTGCTGCAGACCCTGCCTTCACAGGCCCCCGGTCGTCGGGCGGGAGGACGGCTGGGGGTAGGCAGCCGCCTGTCGGAAGGCGGGGTAGTACCGCGGCTGCGCCGGGCTCTGCGC